TTGTGGTTTCAGAGCTTACCTGATCTGAACTGGACGTTCTTGTTTTTTGAATTAATTACATGTTTTGCTGTCGTTGATGTGTTAACCCAGACCTGAGCAACGTCCAGCTTCAGGTCACATACGGTCCAGTCCATGTGCCATTTGTTTTTCAATATAAAACAAAAAATAAGAAAATGAAAAAAAACAACAACTGTTTTCTTCATTATTTGTCTCCAAAACCAAAATGAAAAAAACGGATAACAATTAATTTTTCAGTTTTCGATTTTGTGTTTAAATGAATAATGGAAAAAATGGATAATGACAGTTTCCTGTTTCCATGACTTCAACTGTGATGCCGGACTTTAGCGCCACATACAGACTGAACCAGACAGGAACCAGACCTGGGACGGCATCCAGGACTTAGACCGGGACCAGACCAGAAATGAGACCAGAACTGAGACCAAAACTGAGACCAAGACTGAGACCCGGGAACAGGACCAGGACTGAGACTAGGACTGAGACCAGGACTGAGACTGGGACCCAGACCAGGACCAGACCAGGACCAGACCAGGACTGAAAAAGATTTAGTCCTGGCTCATTCAGTTTTGTGGCGCAAAAGTCCGGCATCACAGATTAAGTCTCGGAAAAGAAAAAAGGCCATTATCCACTTCTTCATTCCTTTACACAAAATCAAAACTGAAAAAACGAATCATTATCTGTTTTTTCATTTTGGTTTTGAAGACAAATAATGAAGAAAATAGTTGTTTTTATCATTTTCTTATTTTTGGTTTTATATTGAAAAATGAATGAACGAATGATACACGGATTTAGCCCTTTGGTTGACTCTGACTGGCGCGTTTAAGCTCATTTGGAATTACAAAATAAACTAATTTTATCATTTGATCTCATGCATGTCATCCCTGGTTTGGGTGTTAATTTGATCTGTAAAGCGTACAGTTCCTGGTTGTAACTCTTACCTGATCTGTAGCGGTCGTCCCTGGTGCCTCCATTGCGGTGCGACCTCTTGGAGCGCCTCTCTCTGTACCGCGACGCATTCGACGATTGAGGGGCGTGGCCTGAGGAGGAGGGCGGGGCAGCAGCAGGTTGGACATCATTCTTAGGAGGAGGCTCCACTGGAAAAAAAAACAAAAAACACTGAATTATGATGTGATATGTTAATGTGAATCAATAATGTTGCTTCGTAAGTGATTTAAGAATATTATTGAGTAAGTTTTGATGATGAACCAGTGAACAGCTTTAATTCAGTATTTTGTTTTTACACAACATTTTCACACCATTGGTAACAACAACTAGCATGCTAACAGTACACCACTGTTACTTCCTGGTTCGCAGATTATAATCTTTTCAGAGGCCATTATTGTTCAAAGTGATGGACAGCTCAACAATATAAAGATGTTTTCAGTAAAATTTAAATGTACAACATAAGATTTGTGCGACATATTTTTGTTACTTGTTTATTTCTTACCTGGAGGCGCCTGGATGATGAACGGAGCCAGAAGTTTAGTCTTTTTCTTCTCATAGCCCTTTTGTGTGATGTCCCCTGTGAACGAAAACACACAACTCGTTAGAAAATTCTATTCATAATAGTAATAAATTCAAATAAACATCAATTACATAAGGATTACACAAGATGCAAAAGGAGTAGGTAGAGGTACAAATACTTAGAGTGTTTGAGAGAAGAACTCAGCCTAAATGTGCAGGGTTTGTGTGTTAAACATGTGAATGAAAAAAAACACAACTCCAGGCCTGTTTGTGATGAGGAAATAACATTAGAACATAAATCAGAAACTACAGTAATATTGGTAGTAGATATCTTTATATTTTTTTAATTTCAGTATCATTCCCAGAATATTATCAGCTCAAACAATTGCAGTTGCATTTAAAACAGTACATTAAGAGGAGAGAGTTTGAAAATTGGAAATTCATGCGAGAAGACACAATATTTCCCCCATTATTTCTTGTCCTTAACCACAGATTGTAAAAATGGACAGTTTGGCTGCAATTTGGCTCCACCGACTCAACTTTCTATTGTAAGTGTTTTACATCAGATAAATCAGGATGTGCACGTAAAACATTGCTCTGGTTTCTGAAAGTCGTGAAAGCGCTCATAAACTCGTTTATTTATTTATCTATTTATTTATTTGAGACAGCGACAGCATGCAATTTTTACATTAACCTTTTTTACAGGAGAGATGCATTGTACATCAGGTTGTAGCATCAGTGCTAATTTCCACCTGTCGTCCCAGGGCAGATTCATTGATTGATTGTATTTAACTGACCTTAACTATCAACTGTTCTTGGAGACATGTAGCATGTTTTGGGTTCTAGGTCACGGTAAGTAAATGGGATGCTCTGAATGCATACAGTAAGTGAGGGAGAACTTTGGATGGAAACCTGCTGGAAAGTCCTCTTGAATTGTAACCTTTATAAAAGTTAGTTCATCTATATACATATCGATTTAAAAAAAAAAATCATTAAATACATTGTATTAATTACATTATAATTAAGAATTGCCAGTACTCTCCTCCGTCCATCTGCAGAACTTGGGCAGTGGTTCTTAAGATGATAAAATGCTGGTTCTATGTGGTCAGATGGCAGGTTGGGCAGAGCCATCACTTGTCTCAGAAAATTCATCACAGGTAACTATTTCAGGATTTGATCTTACATATTTCAGTTCCTTCCTAAAAGTGATTCTGAATGATTTTTTTTACAAATTATTAATGATAATAATAATGCATCACTTTTATAGAGCGTTTTTTGGACACTCAAAGACACTTTACAGTTCATTATTCATTCACTCCAGACCTGGTGGTGGTAAGTTACTATTGTAGCCACAGTTGCCCTGGGGCAGACTGACAGAAGCGAAGCTGCCAATCTGCACCATCGGCCCCTCTGACCACCACCATCACTCACACACACCACTTTCATACTAGGCAATGTGGGTGAAGTGTCTTGCCTAAAGACACAACAAAAGTTTTGTGACTGGTGCCCCCCTGTAGCTTTCTAAGTTTCTTGTGTTGTGCTGTTTACAAATGATGTTCATGTCAGCAGATAAGCAGATCCCAAATCAGCAGTTACAGATGTTATAGGAAATGAGGAACAACAACAACAAAAAACCACATTTAAAACGATTTCATAGTAAACTTCTGCGAGGAAATGAGGATTATATTGATATTACATAATGAAAAAATGTGGGCTGCTTCGGTAAGATCGGTAAAATGACATAAACAAGGCCCCACATTTGGTCTGGTACATTCACATTTCATTTTATTATGATATAGAAGCTGATTTTCTAACTCGATACATCACAGTGACACGAATGACTAAAGGCCGGCGAGAACATCCCCCTCTCCTGGGCAGGAGACAGCAGGTACAGTACCCGCGTGCCGCCCACTGCAAACTGTTTAAAAAGGTTTTTCACGTTTTCGAGAGCATTTGAACAAATATAACAGCTTGAATGTTTGTCACTTTCTTTCATAAATTTGCTCAAAACCACAAAATGGCAGCTAATGTTTACAATCTGCTGGTGGGAACAAAACAGCAGATGGGAGCCCACGTTGGTGCGGCGAGGAGTCATTCTTCGTAAGAGAAAAACAAAACTGTTCTAAAAAAGAGGAGAGGAGGAGGGGAGGAGGAGGAGAGTGGGCGGAAGATGAATCAGTGACATACAGAGAGTAAATGAGCAGTTATCACAAAAACTAAAAATGTAACATGTCCACAGTATAAGATGATGAATGATGAGAAGAGAGAAAGAGAGAGACAGAAGGAGAGAGGAGGATAGAAAGAAGAGAGGGAGATGATAGGAGAGATAGAAGAGACAAAGGGGGAAAGAAGGGAGAGGAGGAGAGGGGGAGCAGGGGATGGAAAAAGACAAGTGATGGAGTGAGGAAGAGATGAGAGAGAGAAAGAGAGAAGAGGAGAAAGAGGAAAGAGTGAAAGAAAGACAGATGGGAGAGAGATGAGAGAGAAAGAGGAGAGAAGAGGAGAAAGAAAGAAAGAAAGAAAGAGAGGGAAGGGAGAGAGATGAAAGAGAAAGCGATGGAGGAGAGTGAGAGATGTGCGAGAGAGGGAAAGAGGGGAAAAGAAGAGAGAAAGAGAGAGATGGAGGAGGGAGAGATAAGCAAGAGAGAGAGAAAGTGAAGCGAGAGAGGTAGGAGAGAAGAAGAGAGGGAGGAGAGAGAGATGAGCAAGAGGAGAGAAACAGAAAGAGAGAGGACAGAAAGATGAGCAAGAGAGAGAAAGAGGAGAGAGAAAGAGAGGGAGGGAGGAGGGAGAAAGATGAGCAAGAGAGAAAGGAGAGAGGAAGAGAGGTAAGAGGGAGAGAGTTGAAAGAGAAGAGAGATGTGAGAGAGAGAGAGAAAGAAGAGAGAGAGAAATAGAGGGAAGAGAGGGTCAGGAGCAGAGGAAAAAGAAGGACAGAGAGTGAAAAAGGAGCGAGCGAGAGAAATAGAAAAAGAGGAGAGGAGGTGACAGGAGCTGGTCCCTGCGCCCCCTGCCTTCAGTCCATCTGTGCCCAGCAGAGCCTCCCCTCACTGTCCACTGTCCACTGTCCACACAATATGACACAAGCAGCAACATTTGACTGTTCTGGAGCTCACACTGCTGACACAAGAAGAACACACACATCACACACAAGTCACTTTTTATTCACTGCTGACTAAAATACACTAGTAAAAACACATCCAAGTCCATTTCAATACAAAAAAATTAAACACAAATCACCACAATGAGTTTATAAGCACTATTCTCAACATTCAGAGACCACAGTAGAGTACTATCACATGACTGTTAACAGCAACTAGCATGCTAACCACACACCAGTGCTACTGCCTTGTTTGTGGGCGATAAAAAACGTGTAATAATTAAGACACAGACAGTACACAGAGGTCTTAGTTTGATCCTAAAGGCCGCCACACACTACAGGAGTTTTCGGTCTGAAACGATTTTCAAAAGCGCGACAAAAAGCACACACCACAGACACAAGGAGAATCTTATGAGACTTAAAATCTCCGATCACAAAGACTGCAGTGGGATCTGTCTGTGGACCACAGGATATAAAGTTGTGAGTGCACCTCGCGTCAGCTTTTTCCTGTCTACTGTAAAACCAGTCGCTTTGAGACTCTTAAGTGTTCAAAAGATCAGACTCTGCACTTCTAGTTTAGATACAAGTCAAAACAGTGTTATTATTATTTGTGAAATGTTGTGCAAAACTTCAGATACATGATTTTAAAAGCATGAAAGATTGGAGATAAAGTTCACAGGAAGTAGAGTCACTGTCACTAATCTGCAGCTTCACCTCGATCTGTGTGGATGTAAACAGACACACGTGAGAAACTACTCTCACCTTTTTACTTTTAAAAACACCCTCAAACTGGATTAATAGTGCAGTTTTGTGGACTGAGGGTCATTATTTGAGGAAGACAGTTTCTATGGATAATGTGGATGTGATTCTGTAGGTTAAATTTACAACTTTATGAGAGGTGAGGAATAAAGTCTTCTCATTATTTTCGCTATAGATCCAGAGTTTTTTATCTTGCTTTTCTGAATCCGTCACTCCTCTGCCTCTAATGCTCTATTATGCTCTAATGTTTTATTGGCTATTGATGTTTGGTGGTCAGAGTCACACTGACAGTACACACACACACACACACACACACACACACACAAGGAGCGCTAACAAAGACACAAAGTCGGATCAGAACTTGCAGCCAGTAAATTCTCCTGGAGTGTGAGGCGGCCTTGCTTTGATGATGTATCTGTACTTGGGCAAGACACATTTTACTTTGTGACATGAAAAAGTAGCAGAGGTGTCAAGTATAATATATGACAAATTATAAATTTTTTCATACATTTTTTCCTTAATTTTATTCATTTTTCATACTTGGGCCGTAAAATGGCAATGGCAGAACTGTGCTGAAACCATAGACTGTATAAAAGATGTGGACTAAGTGAGTGTAACATCACCCATAGTGTTCAGCTCCAGTCAAATGAAGCTCATCTAAGCTTGAATTTGGAGCCAGTTCCATATTTGGAATTCCGACCGTGAGTATCATAGCATCCAAAGAGCCAACCCAGAGCGAGGATGTTGATACCTTTAACTCCCCTTCCTATTCACACTGCAGGATTTAGCATGGAGCAAGCGCCTAGTAACGTTGTCAATCAAACCTGTTGTGACCTCAGGGGAAGAAGGCCCCCGATTTACCTGTTTTGTTAAAGTTCATATCTTGATTTACAGACAAAATAGTGAATCAAGTAGACAGGGTTAATATGAACATTTTAAGACCAAAATAAAGAGCCTGACAGCAGCAGTTACAGAGAGAGAGAGGAGATGTTTTATCAATAGAAAGAAAACTGGAGCCAGAGTTGATGGAGCTGGAAGTGTGCCCATGCTCTCTTCCTATTTGGGGTGCAGTGGTTAGCAGGTTATGTCCACTTAAACAATCTATGGCTTAAACATGCTTGTAAATGTGTTGGTTGAGGTTCAGGTATCCCATAAAACGTGAACTGACCGTACTATTAACAACAAAAGAGAAGAAACAT